TCGAGAGAACTGTGTTAACTTCGAACCTGTCCTTAACAATTATCTACCGCGACATAAATCGCAAAATTCAACAAATGGCGTACAAATCGATGCTGGAACGTTTAGAAGGCAGTTGGAACATTTTCAACTGAGCACACGAAACCTGGCACTGGCGCATCTTTCCAAGGCTCGTATAAACCTAAGCAAGTCGGCATTGGCAAAAAATATAATACTCCGCCGCAAGAAGATCGCGATGTTGCAGTAATTTGTAACTGCCGCGGTGCATTTTCGTAATTTCTTTCATCTCGTTCGAATCCTTTGTTCGCGACTGCGATGCGCCTCGAAGCGCCGAACTCTCTCTCTCTCTCTCTCTCTCTCTCTCTCTCTCTCTCTCTCTCTCTCTCTCTCTCTCTCGGAACATTTGGAAAACGGATCGGGAAATAAGGAAAGCAGATACGGCGGACGGCAGCAGCAACAGCAGATGGCTCGAACATTGCCGACGTTTCCTCGAGGGATTGCGGATTCCTAGAAACGGTGCAGCGGTTTAGGATAACGGCGGAAATCCCCTCAAAATTCGGCGGTTGCAACGGCGCGGCCAATTTCGGCGGTCAGCGGACCGACCGACCGATCGTCGAACGAGCCGGTGAATCGATCCGCGACCACGTGTTTTCTGCGTCTGACGGTTCAATTATTTCCATAAGACGAGCATCTAACGAGCTTTCATGTCAGCGTCCGTCCGTTCGTCCGTTCGTTCGTTCGTTCGTTCAGCCGGTCGGCCGGGCTTAAAATTAGATCCTACGAAACGAACAAGCCGGAAGCGAAACGACGAGGGAGCCCGCAGAAAATTTATTTAGCGGACCGCGCCGCCGACGAGCGCCGATTCATTCATCGCGAGACGAACCTTGGTGGCCGACATTCCCCGGGAATCTGTTGGGAAACACTCGGCGGTGGTACAATTTCCTTCGGTGAGAGTCGTTCCTTACGCGAGAATAGCTGGCGGAAATTTCGAAAGCGGACTCTTTCGAGATCGCTGCAAACCGCGGCGCCATTTTGACACGGAAAAGCCGAGGGACGAACGCGATGTCAGGCAAACTGGAAACTCGCGATTGTCTCGTGGTGAAAATTCAATTATCGGCGAAATTACAATTCGAAAGAAATTTTGTATACATCTGTTGATATTGATGATGTAATTAATATGGTAATTAGTATAATTAACTAGACCGCGGATTTTATGCGTTCATTGACAAACGTGAACAGATCGAATACAAAACTGCGAAGGCATTGGGAGAATTCGAGGACGTTCTTACACAGCGTATTCAAGATATTTTAATTAATAAAAGAATTTATATTCTAATTTATTCTAATTATTATTATATTTTGGAGGTGTCGCGACGAAGGCAAAATCTAGGGGTTCGAAGTCAAACCAATTGATCTAGAAATTCATTGTATATAGAGTATGAAGTAACAGGTACGAATTAATGTCTTATATTTATTGATAGGGGCGTGTTCTTGTTATTTAATTAGTTCCTAAGCACTCTATAATCTATGTACGAGTGGCGCAATATTTAAGCAATTTAAGCTCTGAGGAAAATTTAAAAAAAAAATGTCGAGACGCGTTGAATTGAATAAGAAATTTAATTCCTCATTAGATTGACTACATAAATATATATTATATAATTATGTTGACTACATAAATATACATATATTATATAATTATGTTGACTACATAAATATACACATATTATATAATTATGTTGACTACATAAATATACATTTATTATATAAGTATGTTGACTACATAAATATACATTTATTATATAAGTATGTCGACTACATAAATATACATATATTATATAATTATGTTGACTACATAAATATATAACTTTTCATAATATGAAAATGAAAAATTTTGGTTGATCTCATAATTATGAGACGCGGTATAACATTAACTAGTTTGCCGTGCTTGACGAGTAAACTCGTCACACAAAAGTAGTCACCATTGGCTATTTAACCCTTAAATGCATCGTGTTGCCGTTTGGCAATATATATATATCTAGAAGAATATTTTGTTTTATGGTCGATTGGCTATATACGATAATTTTGTAATAAAAAAAGCTATTTTCCTAAAGATATAACGTTTTTCTGTATTTTTCCCCGAATATACACACATTTTTCAGTGAAGTTAACGATAAATAGAAATAGAAAACAGAAAAGTCGCGCATTTACGAGTTAAACTGTAATTTTCACGAGAACAAAAACTAATTCTAAAAATTCCAAGATGTTTCGAATATTTTATCCTACGCTTCCATCCTCCGCGAAGGTGTTCACATTGTCGCAAAAATAAGATTAGAGAAGAATCGCGATGTCGGTGTTCGATAACACCGCGGAGCTAACCGGTTAATTAATATCGTACACCACTCTTGATTCATTAAAACTCTCAAGTATCCGCATACATCTGTCCAAGAGCTAGTGTGCATCGCGCAAAAGTCGTCCTTGAAGAAGGAGCGTCTCGATTTTCTAAGGTGAAATCACGTTAGATGGTTGGTAACGGTAGTAGGATCGGCTGGTGTGAAGTTCGCGAGACACAGTCGAGGGTATTGCTCGCGTTCCTTGACCCTGCTAGGAGAACCCTCGAGCCGGCAGCCGCGCCGCGAAGGGTCTTTTATCCGTATGCTAACCCGTCTCCTCTCCCTGTGGCATTCCACGCTTAGGAGACTTAGAGAACACAGCCGGAGAGCAGCAAGCCGGCCGCGCGGCGAGCGGATATCGAAGGAGGACGGAGCAATAATACAAGGCCTGCCCTTGCCAGCCAAGGAGTAACGTCCTGTTACACCAGTCTGACCACTCTCTCGCCTTCCTTCGTCCTCCGCATATCCTTGCTCCTTTCCTCCGCAGCATTTCGTTTTATTTCGCGGCGAAGGCTCTCTCCCCGCCTTCTCCCCGCGCGCCTTCTCGCGTCTCTCTGCTACGCTTAGACGCGCGACCGTTCGCCAGGAAACTTTGCTCCCGCTTCGTCGAAAACTTCCTGGGTGTGCACAAGTCCTTTTACAAAAATTACCCCGTCGGTTTTCCTCGCCGCGGCGAGGCGGCGAACCTCTAAGTTCCGACAGCGGTGCAGCACGCGCGCGCACCGAAATTGATAGCGGACCGTTGCAACGAAGTATTTCAGCTGCGTCTAACAGTTGTTTCGCGGAGCTCTTCGTAATACCGTGAGCATGGCAGGCAAAATTATCGGCTCGATCTTCGGGGAATGTTAAAAGCAGTCGAGATTGTTGACGCGTCGAGCGCCGCGTCGGTTCATGCGTGCGGATTTATAATGATTTTCTTGCAGTCGAGGATCATTATTTTGTCTTAGATAATGTTCTCAAAAGAACTGGTTATTTTTATAGCTGGTTATTTGATATAAATTGTGATTTTGATTATGGATTATGAACGAGATTATACAGGGTGTCTCGGAACGGGGTTCCTGAGGTTATTTGAAGTAACTTTTTCCTTTGCGAAAATGCAATCCGCAGCTTTGTTTACGAATTATTAACGAAAAACACTGACCAACGAGAGGCGAGAATTAGCTGGCGCGAGGCGGCCGAGTCAACGAGCGGTCGAAGCTCGGTTCCGCTGATTGGTTCACTCGCCACGTGCCTGCCGAGCTCGTTTCTCATTGGTCAGCGTTTTTCGTTAATAACTCGTAAACGAAGCCTCGGATCGCATTTTCGCTAAGGAAAAAGTTACTGCAAATGACCTCACGAACTCTCCATTTTCGGATTGCGAGACATTTTTGGGACATCTTGTATATAGAGTGATCTTTGAACAATTTTTTAAGAATTTCTTAGAAATAATCTGCGATCCTCTTCGTTCATAATCCATCGAAAATTTAGTTAAATGTAGCTACAGTGAATTCTCCCTGATTGACGCTCAAATTCTGCACAAAAATGGACAATTTGGGAAGAGGAGATACGAATTATTCGAACGTTGCGACTCGATTTTATAGTTACCGATTGTCAAGGACTACAAAATCGAGCTAGAAGACTCGAATAATCGTATCTCCTCTTCCCAAATCGTTCATTTTTCTTTCCAAACCAAGCGTCAATTAGGGAGAATTTACTGCGGTATTTTTGAAATTATTTTAATTAATTATTCACGACAAAATTATCGAGCTTCTCTTAGTTCAGTGACTGAAAAGCCTGCGAATAGGCTCTCGCGATAAATGGCGCGTTAACCAGATTATGAAATTCATTTTTATTGTAACATATTAAACAAACTGAACGTTATTATGATTTCTACGAAACAAGAGAATTAAAATGATATCACCTCCGATAAACTCTGACTTCCTATTTTTCCTTTCATCGATTAAACGACTCTGATATTCTAGGAACCTTTGGCGTTGATATATCTGCATTGAATATTTTAAATGATCCTATTTTACCCACGTTTGCGCAATTTCTGCGGTAACAATAATAACGGCAAAATGTCAGCGAAAGATGAGAGCGATCGATAAAAGCGAGCAATGATCGCATTTGGAGCGACGCGGGCTCGGAAATTGAGAACGTTTTTGCCAGGTACAGTAATGTCTCCCTAACTGACGCTCAAATTCTGCAGAAAAATGGACAATTTGAGAAGAGAAAATACGATTATTCGAGCCTTGCGGCTCGTTTTTATAATTGTTGATAATTCGTAACTATACATCTGAGCGTCAATAAGACAGACAATCCGAGCGTCAATTAGAGAGACATTACCGTATATCCGAAGTTTCCCGGCTGAAGGGCGCGGCATAGGGTGCTGTAAAACGGGGCGAGAGTACAGAATCTTATGAAATCGTTCAGTTTTCGAGGAGACTAGTATCCCGGATTCCGGCGTAGAATTCAGCCGGATCGAACAGACTTCGATTCGCGAGACGAGCCGGAGGGGACACGACCGAGCATTCCTCGCGTGTCGTCGCCGAGCGCATTCCTCGACCGCGTGTTCCGCATGCGGAATGAAGCGCGGCTACATTCCCGCCGCGACAATTCGAAACTGTTACTCACCGATAATGGTGTCCGCCGCTGCAGCCTCCGGGATGGATCGGCAGAGAACCCTGCACAGACAAAACAAGCATCGGTTTAGTCCTCCTCTTCCTTCGAAGCCGCACTCGCGCGCGCGGACCTGCTTTGTTCGTCGACAACTACACTTCTTCTTCTTCACTCCGCAAACTTTTCGGACACTGTGTCTCCCCTTTTCGAAAAAGGAACAAAATGAACGGAAGTCGTAACAATGTCGAAGGCTCTCTAAACAGTTCTTTATCGACAGTTAACTCGTTAACTGGCTGAACGCTGGACAAAGCAACCATCGACGCGCGATACCTAACAGGTACAGGACGACAGCATTGTGCTTTTCGAAGAAACAGACTTCTTCCGGTAAGCAACCTTTCAGAAATGTTTCCGCGCACGTCCTTTTATCGCAATACGCTTGCGAAAGGAAATGTGACGAAATCGTGGATTTCGCGATAGACGGGAGATTGGAGCAAAATCTTTGGGAAAAAAGTGTTCGAGGAGAATAAATATGTTGTGTAATGGTCCGTATACATCTCTTTACTGCAATAGCAACCTTTCAGAAATGTTTCCGCGGAAGTCCTTTTATCGCAATAAATTTGAAAGAAATGTTACGAATCCGTTTATTTCGAGACACGGAAGATCGAAGCAAAATCTTTGGGAAAAAAAGTGTTCGAGAAGAATAAAAATGTCGCGTAATGGCTTGTATACATCTGTTTACTGCAATAGCAACCTTTCAGAAATGTTTCGCACACGTCCTTTTATCGCAATAAATTTGAAAAAAAGATGTGACGAACTCGTGTATTTCGAGACACGGAAGATCGAAGCAAAATCGTTGGGAAAAAAGTGTTCGGGAAGAATAAAAATGTTGCGTAATGGCCTGTATACGTTCGTTTAATGCAATAGCAATCTTTCAGAAATGTTTCGCACACGTCCTTTTATCGCAACACATTTGGAAAAAATCTTACAAACCCGTGTATTTCGAGATACACGGAAGATCGAGGCAAAATCTTTGGGAAAAGAGTGTTCGGGAAGAATGAAAATGTCGCACAATGGCCTGTATACGTCCGTTTACCGCAATAAATCTTAAGCATATATAATACCTTGACAAATCTGTGTACTTTAGATACAGAAAATTGAAGCAAAACGTTCGAGAACATTTTCAGAGAAAAAAGTATAATAACATCGTTCGATAGCGTTCACGCGTCCTTTAACCGCGATAAATCTTTTCCAAAAGGAAAAGATATCTCGACGTACCGGCGGTATTTTTGGTACAGGAAATTGCGGCGAAATCTTCGAGAGAAGATTCACAAGGAAACGAAGAAAAATGTTGCACAATCGCGCGATGATAAAACGATTTCACGGCGAAAGAAGACCGAGGCTAATTCGAGATAAAAGGGGCCACGAACTTTTCACAGATAATCCAAGTCGAATATCTCGTTCCGTTCTCGGAGCTGTTTAGAGCCTATTATTGTAAAATTTCATTGGAAACAAGCATCGAGCGAACGCGATTCAAGCGGTGATTTACAGCGCCGGACGAAAATATAAGACGCTTTGCATATTTGCGTTGCCGTTCCCTTGAAGTTCGATGCGACTCGTAAAACTGCACGCTTATCACGTTCTGTTATGGCACGAGGACGTCCAGTTCTTTCCTTGTTTTCTGACTTTCTTAGCACCACAGCGTAACGACTTCTGTTTAATATAAATTAGCTATTTCGCGTTGATGCCACGATTCTTCGACAACGTTATTCGATCCGCCACGCTTTCGTTCGATTCTTTGCGACGACTGGAAAATTTTCTACGACCTAAATAGATAGATGCATCGTGCTTACTAGAAGACAGCGAAACGTTTCTACGTTTTCCCGCTGTCGAATAACTACTGGCACGTGCTGCAACGATGATAAACAAACCGGACGTCTTGTACTTTTGCCTAAACAACATCGGTTTATTTTAACATTTTATGTTCATTATCTTGTAACATTTGTGTGAAATTTTTATGGTAACGTTCCGATCGATCTTCAAGTTTCGTATATACACAGGCTAGAAATTGCACATAAATATTGTACATAGGATGCGTACATATTGTAGATATATAGGATATGGTACAAAGAATATTAGGTTGATGCGTACGAAATGTCGGTTTTTTAAGCGAATATATAAAACTGCGTATCTTATTCCAAAAGCTGTTTATTTAATCAAAATATGCTCCATTCGCTTCGATACACTTTTCCCAACGAGATTTCAATGCACAGATGCCTGTCTCAAAGAAATTCTGATCTTTAGAATCGATAAACTCTCATATAGAATTTTTTAGACTGTCTTCATTTTCATATCTTTCAGCCCATAAAAACTGTTCTAAATGTTTAAAAGAATGAAAGTCGGTTGGCGAAAGATCCGGCGAAAAAGCTGGGTGCTGCAAAATTTCATATTTTAATTCATTTCATTTCGCAATCGTTTCGTACGACGTGTGCGGCCGAGCGTTGTCGCGGAGAAGTATCGGGCCACGCCGATTAACAAGCGATGGGCGTATAATTTTCAATTTTTCACGCATCTCGTCGATGTACCGGCAGTACTTTTCGGCTGTAATTGTCTCCCCAGTTCTAAGGAACGAGTAGCGAATTACTCCGGTCGCATTGGTTTCCACCGATGCTTTCGGAGCATCATTTTTCACGGACGTTTCGGGTCTTCCGCGCGGTTCATTTTCTAGGGAAAAATCAGCGGACCGAAAATTTTCAAAGCAACGCTGCACTTTTCGATCGTTAACAGTATTCCCCCCGAACGCCTGGTTTACATCGCGTGCAGCTTTCGCAGCATTGTTACCAAGTTTATACTCGTACAAAAAAATTACACGAATATCGGTTGAATTCGTATCCTTACGAAGTTCGAAGCAAATAACAAAATGGAACACTTTTGAGAAAATCTTCTTCGTTGAAACGTGACTCTGGCGATGGACGGTACGACTATAAACG